GGGTCGCAGCTGCCTCTGGAAGGCACCGAGATGTACCTTTTTCGCGCAATGGTCAAAATCAAGGTTTTGTAACGCGAGCTGTGCCACAGTGAAATGGAACTAGCCAGGAGACCTTTACCTTACCTTACCCTTACACTGGGTGTGCAGGTCGCAGAGAGCCGCGCGGGCATGATGTGGTTGTTCTATGTTGTGGGCGCTGTGGGCGAAAAAAATACACGTTTGCTGCAAGTGTTCTTTCTCCCGCCGGCGCCGCCCGTGCGTCCGTGGTTTCAGTTCTCCCTCAGCTCCGGCGGGGCGAGTCGCAGGCTGGCGCGGCTGCCGGTCCACGCCACCGTCGGAACCCAAACCTCCCCCTCGGCGATCCGCGTGCCTGTTACAGCGAATGGTGTGAAGAGTCGCCGTACTGGCGGCTGGTGAGGACTGGTGTGGTTTGCCACATCTGGGCTACACCTCGGCTGTACCCCTCGGCCAAACTTTGACTCGGCCATCTCCCTGCCATCTCCCTGCCACCTCCCCGCCATCTCCCGGCCATCTCCATCCACCCCCCCCCCCCCCCCTTTGGCTACAGCCCTCGGCTCTGTGTCGGGCAACGTCGCGGCTACACTCGTGCCTCTAGGAAAGGTCTAGGAAAGGTCTAGGAAAGGTCTAGGAAAGGTCGCGGCTACACTCCAACCCCACACGTGGGTCTGGCCGGCGTGGTCAGTCGCAGACAGCCGCCCGTCGCGCAGCGAGAACTCGACCTGTGTTCACAGACAGAGGGTGTGAAGAGACGCGCGCGCCCGCGCCGCGCAGAGAGAAGGGCGGCCGCGTCGCCAGCGTGTAGGAAAGGTCCGAAAAGATCTAGCAGCGGTCTGGGAAAGGTCTAGGGAAGGTCTAGAGAAGGTGGCCAAATCGACAGCGTGTCCCGTCTAGGAAAGGTCTGGGAAAGGTCTGGAAAAAGGTCTAGACAAGGGCGGCCCAGTCGCCAGCGAGGCGCAGCTTGGCAAGCCTATTCATGGGCGGAGCTGTGAAGAGGCGCCGTGCACCATGCACCGCCAGGCGTCTCATTCGGGTGATCTGGGGTGATCTCGGGTGATCTCGGGTGATCTCGGGTGATCTCGTGCAATCTCGCGCCTCCCCGGCGTTCGGCCATCCGGTCCTGTGTCGATCTGCGGCCCGCTTGAGTGAGCCTGTTCACAGCTGGCGGTGTGAAGAGACGCCGCTCACAGCGAGCGCCGCACCGCAGCCTCGAGCGCGGCCGTCGGCGTGGCGAAGCAGCAGCGGCGGGAGCGGCCTCCTATGGGGAAGGTTCCGGGAAAGCTCACGGGAGACTCCCGGAGAGGCCGGCTGGCAGTCGGCCGCCGTAGAAGATGGAGCGAGGGCCGGCGGTCCCTCCTGGCGGGGAAGAGTGGTGAGAAGAAGCGTCAGAATCAGAGGCGGTGGGGGGGGTGGGGGGGTTGAGAAGATGAGAAGGAGAGGGTGTCGCTAGCGCCCTCTTTAGCCCGGTGTCCCGTCTAGGAAAGGTCTAGGAAAGGTCTAGGAAAGGTCTAGCTCAAGGGTCTGAAAGGCCTCTGGAGAGTTTGGTGCCATGTCGTGGCGAGACTGTTTGTCGCCTCTCTCTCCCTCTCCCTCTCCTCCCTCCCCTCTCTCCACTAACACTAACCCACACACAACACACACACACACACACACACACACACACACACACACACACACACACACACACACACACACACACACACACACACACACACACACACGCACACACACACACACACACGCACACACACACACACACACGCACACACACACACACGCGCGCACACACACACACACACACACCATCCACATCTACATACCGGTGCCTCCCCCTCCAGCGCCTGGCCAGGTCTGCACCGACCCGTCGGCGTCGCGCCGCCGGCCCATGATGAAGTGGTACCTGCGGACATGTCCCGGACATGTCCCGGACGTGTGACGCCGGCGTCGCGGCGGCGGCGCGTGACGAGGCGGCGCCCCATCTCGAGCAGTCCTTGCGCCTTGACGTTTGCAGCCGCTGCAGCTACCAGCCTTGCCTTGGCGGCGGCGTTTGCCCTGGCGGCCGCGAGGGCAGCAACCGCCGCCTCCCCCTCCGCCGCCGCCTCCTCCTCCGCCGCCGCAAGCGGCGCAGCATTCGCGTCCCCGACTGCACCCGCCACCGCAGAAGCGCCCGCCTCCCACAGAGCAGCAGCGCCGGCGGCGGCGGCGGCGGCAGCGCCGGCAGCAGCGGCGGTAGCAGCGGGCACGGCGGCAGCGCCGGCGGCGCCGGCAGCAGCGGCAGCGGCAGCGTCACCGCCCACCTCAACTGCAGCGGCGGCGACGGCAGAAGCGTCTCCGCCAGTCAGCAGAGAGATGCCCATGAGAAGATCCCCTGGCGCAGCCTAGTTCGCGGCCAGAGCCTGCCTCGGGACATGGTGCGTGGGCGGGAATGCTTCGCGCGCGAGCCGCAGAGCGCGACCTCCTCGATGATCAGCCGGAAGCCGACGTCCTCTCCGACCGAGAAGTGGAGCGAGGATGCGAGAGCGGCGCCGCCCGGGTGCCAAGAGCCGTCGGCGGCGCACACCGCAAAATCGACAGGATGGCGCGAGGCGCCGGCGCCGGTCTCAGTCCACCCATGCCGCCACGAGGCTCGGCGGCGCACTGCGGCCGGTGCCTGAATGAGCGCGCGGCGCCAACTATTGCTCGTTGCTGCGGCCGCTCGTAGCGAGTACGCCGGCAGAAGAGGGTAGATGCTGCCGCTGAGCAAGTCCTCGGGCAGATCGGCGAGCTCTTGGTCAGCGTCGGCCGAGGACATATGTGTGTATATGCACATAAATCGGGACTGGCGCGAGCTGCCTAAGCGACTCCGCGAGGACGGCGAGGCACCGGGCCGGTGGATCACCGTACCGGTAGCCCGAAGAAGCGAGGGGGCGGGCCTCACCCGGGGCTAACCTCGATCTGCACCTTGGATGGCTGCGCTCCCTGTTTCGCAGCCATCCGTGCTAAGGATGGCTGGCACGCCTAGATCTCAGCCATGCACTCCTACCGGATGGCTGAGAACTAGAGGCATGCCAGGTTGCCAGCCATCCTTCCTTAATTCACATGGTTGCAATTAAAGCATCCTGGCCACTCCGCCTCCCAGCACGCGACATTCTGGCTGCGTTCCCGTCAGCGCAGCCATCCTCCGGCCGATGGCTGCGATGGCTGTGTCCCAGCCATCCGCCCCGCCGGAGGATGGCTGTCGCGAATTCGACCCAGCCTTCTCGCCGCCCCCGACACGAGCGCAGCTGGCTCCACTCACGCTGCGCGAGCCACCACACCCTTGTTCCGGATGGCTGGCGTCGTTATCTCTCAGCCAGCCTCTGAGTCGCTTGGTCAGGATCTAGTAAGCTCAGCCATCGTCCGGCCGATGGCTGCGACGGCTGTATGACAGCCATCATGCGGCCGGGCGGATGGCTGGGACACAGCCATCGCAGCCATCGGCCGGAGGATGGCTGCACTTGGCTGGAAGGCAGCCAAAATGGCGCGTGCTGGGAGGGCGGAGTGGCCAGGATGCTTTAATTGCAACCATGTGAATTAAGGATGGCTGGCATGCCTAGTTCTCGAGGTTCTCGAGCTCAGCCATCCGGTAGGAGTGCATGGCTGAGATCTAGGCGTGCCAGCCATCCTTAGCACGGATGGCTGCGAAACAGGGAGCGCAGCCATCCAAGGTGCAGATTTCGAGGTTAGCCCTCACCGGGGGCTCACCGGGTCCCGGCCGTCCCCGCCCCCTCCCTCACCTGCCCCACCCCGGGGCCTCACTCGCGATGCGCTGTCCCGGGGGGGGTACCACTCGCCAGCCGAGGTCCTCCTCGGCTTTGACGTGGATTGCTGCTGCATCGGCTATGACGGCACGCGCGTCTGGGCGTTGCCGCGCGCGCTCGATGCCCTCCGGTTCGGGCACACCGTGGTCAACCCTCTCCACGCGTGGCCCCGGCAGCCGTCGTACGAGCTCCGGCTCGCCAAGTACGCGGCTCGCGGCTGGGCGGTCGCCGTCCCCGGCCTGAAGATCAAGCGGATCGGACTGCAGGGCCTAAACCGCATCGTGAGCGGGAGGCTCACGCTGAGAGGCGTGGCGCGCATACTGCACATCCACCTCGCCCTCGCGCTGCCAGAGAACAATCCGTGGTACCATGGCGCGGGCGGTGGGCCGCCGGCTGGCTATCGCGGGGGCACAAGGCCGCACGACTGGGAGGCGGCGCTGCGGCGCACGTTTGGCTTCCACACCGTCAGCGTGGACGGGATCCCGCAGACGACGCTGCCGGTCGAACCGGACGCGCCACCTGATCGAGGACCCGTATGGCTGGATCAACGCCTACCTCGGCAACGAGGGGCCTCCGGCAAGCCGATGGGGCCGGCCGCGGGGGGACGACATCGCGCTCAAGATGGTCTCGGGCGACTGCTTCGACGACATCTACGATGCAGGCCGCGACGACCTTCACATCCCGCGCGTCATGGCCTGGGCCGTCGAGCCGCGGAGTCGCGAGTACATGAACATGGAGCTGCCGCCAGCGGAGCTGCACGAGCTCTACTTTGCGAGCCTGGAGCGCCGCGTCACCGACCAGCGCGCGGACTACAGCGAGGAGGGCCTGCGGGAGATGGGCGCCCCGGTGGGACTCGGCGGGGAGGACGACGACTCGGGGGATTCGGACGACTACGCGTTTCGAACCGAGTCTGCCTCGGACGGGGCCGAGGGATAGCCTCGAGGTCGACTATGAGGCTTGCGGTCGAGAGGTATGGCTCGCTCGAGAGACGTCGTGGGGCGCGCCGGTCTCGTGTCTCGACTGTCGTGTCTCCGCTCTCGACCCCAGCCCCGCCCAGGCCCCCAGCGCCTAGCCCGCACTACCAATTAATTAGTTCGGGACGGCCTGCTCTAGCGTCTAGGGCGCGCTCCCCTGCTGCCGTTGTCTGCCACTGAACCAGTTTGTTTATAAAGTAGTTTAAAAGCCGTGCGCGAAGAGTCGGAGTATACGCGCGACACCACACTGTGCACGCAGCACCAAGTCTTACTCTACAGCTCGATGCGCGCGTTGCCAGTCAGGCCCATCGCCTCCCACGCGATCGACGCAAAATGGGCGGCGGTCGCGAGCGCGCAGAAAGCGAGCACCGCGACCGCGGGGAGGAGCACGTCCCACGGCGGCCCGTTGGAGAGGAGCGCCTCCTGCCGCAGCTCCGCCGACGCCATCGCCTCGGCCTGCTCAAGTGCCGGGTCGCGGCGGGCCGGCGGTTTGCGCGGCGCGAGGGCGGCAAGGTCGGGCGGCGGGTCGAGGCCGCCCTCGAACATGGGCGGCAGCAGGCCGGTGCGGTAGCAGTGCCACCGCGTCGCAAACAGCTCCGTCGAGTTCCCCTCGCGAAGGCACCACGCCTCCATCTCGCCGCGCGAGCGCCACAGCCCGCGCCGCCGGCCGAGCGCCTCGGAGACCTCGCAGACGTAGTGCGGCGTCCTCACAGGCTCGGTGGCCTCGCCAATCACCCATCCGCACGCGCCGCCCGCGCACGGCCAGTAGATCCGCCAGCGCGTGCCGGGAAGCTCCCACTGCGGGCAGCCGTGGTGCGGCTCGGCGGAGCGCATGTAGATGCCGTTGGCGCCAAACTCGCCGGCACCGTCAACCAGGATGGCCTCGGCGTCGGGAAGCATGTCCGCGATGAGCGGGTCGAGGTCGGGGTCGGCCATGTGTGTGCCGTTGAGCGCTGGAGCGGACGCGGTCGGGTGACGGCTCCGCAGCACCAGCGCCGCGAGGCTGCCAGAGACGCCGGTGCCGATCGATCTCTCGCAGCAGCGCACCCTTTTTCTCGCGGGCCCAGCACACACACACCCTTTTTCAATGTACGTACAGCTAGGCCCCCCCTCACGAGCGGGGTGGACGGCCGACGCGTGGAGCCACGGCTGGAATGGCCGCAGAGGCAGGGGGCATCCCCCGAGGCCCCGCCCCAGGAGGTGCGGCGGCCGGCGCCGCCACCGGGCCCGCCCCCGCCACCACCACCTCCGCCCCCGCCGCTGGAGCGACCGCTGGGTCGAGGAGCCGCCCCTGAGGTTCCGCACCAGGCGGTGCGGCCGCCAGTACCGCCATCGTTTCCGCCACCCACACTGCCATTTCCACCCCCGCCACTGGAACGGCTGCAGGGTCGTGGGGCCGCCCCAGCGGCTCCGCACCAGGCGGTTGGGCCGCGAGGGCCGCCACCGTACCCGCCGCCCCTGCCACCGCCTCCACCCCCGCCGCCGACGGGGCCGCCACCGTATGGACCCGTTCGGAATAACCTGGGGGACCCGGGACCGCCCCGCCGGAGGTTGGTGTACCCGGGAGGAGGAGAGGGGGGAGGGGAGTTACCGCTATGATGTAACATACTTCCGGGCCGGTGTGCGGGGAGCGAACCTTAACGACCGCGCAGAAGCTTTCTGAGCGAACCAATCGGGCCAGGATCATCAGCATATGTCCCCTGCACAACATCGTGGGCGTTTGAGCGGTATTTGAGGAGCACCGCGACTCTGAAGTTCGGCCGGGTGGTCTGCAGACCCCCCCCCCCGGAGCAGCAGAGGCCCCGTGGGGTCGAAAAGTCGACGCTGGGAGTCGCACTCGTCAAACCGTCGCAACACCACGCGGTCCGCACGTACCTCCCACATCCCCTCCACCGCTGAGAAGGCGCAGATCGACCGCCGGGCCGCGTAGTCGTCGTTAAGGAGCGGTTTTTGGAGCCGTACGAAGAGGTCCCAGACGGGCGAACATGCGGTTTTTCGACGACCACACGCGATGTGGTATCTGGTTTTTGCTAAAAACGGGCCGCCTAGTGCAGCATCACTAGTACAACACGCAACCACACTGAGAGCTCCACACTAGCCGGTATAGGCGAGCCCCGGCGGCCTCACCGTCGCCGCTCGCGGCGGAGCCGACGGCGGAGCCACGGGTCGGTGCGACCTTTTGGGGGCCCATGAGCTCGCCGGGACGTCACCGATGGCTCGGCGCGCCTCTTCCCGCCAGCGCGGGGCGGCCCACCTACAGGAGCGAGGGGGAGGTGGTCGTGCGCTCACTTTGGCGGTCGCGCGCGAGGTGAATACTGGGTGTGAGGCGCGCAGGAGGCGATAGTGGGCGCGCCGGCGGTCGAGCCACCGAAGAATTCGACGTGGCGCAGCTCCGCGCCGGCGGGGACGACCGAGCACATGATGTCGGCGGCGGTCACGCGACGAGGGAGAGCCGCAGGAGCCCTCTGAGAGCCAGGCGCCGAAAAGCAGCGTGGGCGGCGGCCGCTATCAGCCTTGAATTTCGGCGGCGCCGAAATTCACACAAGACTGTGAACACACCCACAGGGCGCCGAGTACAAGACAATAGGAAGGGAGTGTACTCAGGCAGTCAGGGACGGGATGAGTCAGAACATACTAAGAGCACCTAAATTGATTGATTGATGGGAAGGCGAAACACAGTCCGACCAACGACTGGGACACCAACGCGGTATGGGTGGACGCTAGACGGGCGATGACGGTCACACAGGAGCGACACACAGAACCACAAGACAAGACACTCAGCCAAACTGACTGCCACACATCCTGAGCGAACTTCCCTAGTCACCCGCGGCCGGACTCCATCCGGCACGCGTCGCTGGGCGCTCAGAGCCGCGTCCCCTGCTCGCCACCCCGACGCCAAAGGCGCCCGAATCGAACGACAGGCGGCACGCGAAGACTGGTTGCAATCCCGCCGACCGCGAGGCCGCGGGATGATGCGTGCGTGTGGTCTTGGAGTGGGTCTCGGAAGCTCTCCTCTAGGGCTAGGGGCCAGCCCCTCTCCCTTGCCCTCGGAACAGTGTGTCCGAGTCGAGGCGTGTGCTTGCCGGTCGACGGCCGCGCGCGGTTGGCATTGTGACGAAGCTCGAAGGTTGCGCGCGGCCGCGGCGCGCCCGCCATGGTTCGGCGCGGCGCGCCTACCAGCGGCAATTGTCGAGGCACGGGAACGCTTACCCGGGGTCATCCTCTGAGCCTGGTCGTCGGCGCCGCGATGCCACGGCGGCGCATTCGACGTCGTCGGCGCGCTGCCCCGCGGTGAGCCCCGCCGCACGTAGCGACGGCCGCAGGTTGGCCCGGTGCAGCGCGCCCTGGCCGCAGACTGAAGAACGGCCACGAGGGGTGTGTGATGTGCGGTGCGGGGTGTGAGGGGGCAGCGTCTTTGTGTGTGTGCGCGCGCCTAAAGGAGCAAGGCCCATACTCCCTTAATGTGGGTAAACCATAGTAGCGTGCACGCTACTATGAACAGAGAAACCCATAAAAGTCGCCGCTGCAGTCCACGACGAGCCAGCCAGCTGCCGGCTCGCACGGCAGCCTCTTCCTCTCGACCAGCCTCAACTTCCGTACAGTCAACATTTTGTCGCTGCGTGCTCGTGGCGAGCTGTGGCGGCGGTCGAAGTTGGCCCAGATTCGGTGACGAGCGCCGGACGATAGTAGTGTCTCTGTTCGCCCTGTGCATGTCAGGCCAGGCTGCAGCAGGGCACTACCATCGTGCTGCCCTGCTGCAGCCTGACCTTGCCCACTGTGCACAGCCGCCAGAGCACCACCACCGCCCGGCATCGTGTCACGGCGAGCTCCTTCTGCGCCCGCTCGCGAGGCTCTCGCGCTGGCACACTTTGGCCATCTGCTGCTCGCGTTCGGCGAGCTCTTCTCCGCAATCCTGCCACGGTGCCGCCACCACACACCTTCTGGCCGGCCTGAGCCGCGCGGACTCGCCGGCGGGGGCAACGTGTCGACCTCTCTCTCTGGTGCACCACGGGCCGCAACGGCCTGCTAGCAGCGTGCGCGAGGAGGCAGTGTGCCGGCACAGTCGAGCGGGAGCATCGGGTTCTTGATGCTTGTGGGGTCGAGTTTGACCTTATGCGGCCTAATATACAACAATAATGCTATGCTCTCACCCAGCCTTTTGAGATATGATCCCTCAAAGTCGAATTATGGTTTACTGGTGACCATAGTAGCGTCTGTCCTGTTTGCGTTTCTTCAAACGAATACACTTTAAAGTCTCAACAATCACTAAGCTGCTTATGTGGCACCGCAGAGGCTCCCTTGGGGATGCCTGAGGCCACCCCAACCACTCACCAAGCCTTACATGGACGAATTCAAACCTACTTTTATGGTTTACCCACACTAAGCGAGTAGCTGTGAAGTGGTCTCTCCACTGACATATATGCTCTCCAACTCCGACCTGCGCGCCCTCTTCCTCGGGCCCGACGCTCCTCCCAAGGCCTCTGCCAAGCGTTTGCGGCGCGACAGCCAGCCGGTTCGCCGCGCCGATTGGCAGACCCAATTGCTCGCGGCGGCGGCCCTTGAGCGGGCGGCCCAGGCGGTGGGCGGAGAGCTCAACGGAGTGAGCGCTGCGCTGCGCGGTCCCGGCTACTTCGACGGCACTCCGCCAGCACGGCGACGCGCCGTCTTCGCGACGGCGATGGCGACGGCGGCGCGGCTGGCGGGACTCGTCGATGCGCTTTTGGCGTCACCGCTTGCGCCGAGCCTCGTCGCCGACTTGGGTCGGCCGCCATCGTCGAGCTCTGGCGGTGAGCGAGCTGCTGCCCGCACCCAGCTTGCCGCACAAGCTGCCCGCCCAGTCGTGGGCGAGGCGGCGACAACTGTAGGCACGTCCGGGGCGGCGGAGGCGGAGGCGGAGGTGGCGGCGGCGGAGGCGCGGCGCGAGGAGCTGGCGTCGAGCTGCTCGCTGCGGCTGTCCCTCGCGTGCGTGCTGCTTCACGACGTGATCGACGGCCGGCGGATCGACGCCTCGCGCTCCGAGGCGCGCAGCGTGCTGCGGCATCGGCGGCAGCTCTGCGCCGCCGTCGCCGCCTCGGCCGCTACGGGCGGGCATGTTGGCGGGCAGTACCTGCTGTTTGCGCGCGTCAACACGCTGCGGTGCTCCGTCGACGAGGCGGCGCGGAGGCTGCTGGCGGACGGGTGGGAGGAGACGGAGCCGCTGACGGGAGGACCTAGCTGCGCCGCCGCCGCAGCGCTCGCCCGCCGCTGCCGCAGCCGCGCCTTCGCGCGGGACGAGCTCTTTTCGGACGTGCTCGCCTTCCCGCCCGGCGCTCCGTTGCGGCAGATGAACGTGTATACTCTCTCTCTCTCTCTCTCTCTCTCTCTCTCTCTCTCTCTCTCTCTCTCTCTCTCTCTCTCTCTCTCTCTCTCTCTCTCTCTCTCTCTCTCTCTCTCTCTCTCTCTCTCTCTCTCTCTCTCTCCACACACACAAACACACAGACACACACACACACACACACACACACACACACACACAC